AACTGGGGACAAAGACAGAGTGTAGGAGCCCAAGTCCTCTCATGGCCCGTGAGCTAGAAGCTGTTGGATTGTGAGTCACTTTTCTTGATTTACTTGGGCAGGGATGGGTTCATCAAAACCACAATTTTGAACTCTAGGCATTCTGGGTGTGAGCTGGGAGTACTGGGGATGTTTATGTACCCACGTTCTTCCTCCATCTGGCTGTGACATGGGCTAAATGGCATCACCTCTGTGAACTTGGCTTGTCACCTGTTGTTTAAAAATATGACAGATTTCTCTGGCCCATCTCTGGTTCTCCAGTGTGACATCTGTGTCCTGTTATCTTAGCACTGTGGCATGAGAGGAAATTAAGAGGGGGGAAATGAAACTATCTCTGTTCATATACCATTAGACAATCTATAAAGACACACATATATAAAATGCATTAGGGTCTATATTAGCATACATACTACATATTTTATGTATAGTATGTGAATTGATTTCAATATAATTTAATTAATTTAAATGTTTACTAAACTGGAACATTTTCTTCCTTCTTTTCACTTTTTGCAATACTAGAGGTGAAACTCGGGGTCTTGTGAGCGCTAGTAATTGGTCTCTCACTGAGCTCTGTAATATCTGAGGGGCATGGAATATTAGACAATGTTTCTCAACAGTTGAATTAACTGGAAGTTGGCTGGTTTGCTGGACAGAAGGCCTGTTTGCTACCTGCAGGACAGTTCAAGAAAGGGTCACCACTGCACTCAGTGCTGCTACTTTAAAACCCTAATGACCCTGGAAGTTAGCCACCAGCTGCGACAAAAGAAGGGGAACTGTTAGCTGTGCTTGCTTATCCCCAGTCCTAATACTGCCGCCAATCAAAGGCAGAATAAGCCTTTTATACCCAGATCACGTAGCTAGTGTTGGACTGACTGAAAGATATTTTCTAAAATGTAGATGTCATCTTAGTGAATGCACAATATTCACATTTTCTTTTAGGAGAACCACAATTTACAAACACACACACACACACACACACACAGAGAGAGAGAGAGAGAGAGAGAGAGAGAGAGAGAGAGAGGATCTTCAGTCATGTTGCACAACTTTTCCCATCTGATCGCCATGTCAAGGCTTTTATATAGCATGTAATCCATCAAGAACACTGCTAAGCTCCTATCAGAACCATGAGCTACCATATAGACTGGGTAACCAAAAGTTTCCAGGAAAAGGTGGCAATTTCACCTTGTTGCCTTTCACAAAGGATCAGATGCTGTATTACAGTTACAGCCACAGACCAAAGTGGCGTCCTGGAAAAGGCAGCTGAGATTTGTAGAGTTATGCATGCTTTTTCCACTCAGTTTTAACAGAAGAAAAGTGACAATTGGCTTCACTGTCTGTCATAAAATATGATAACTTTAGGCATGCCTTGATTGAGGCAGCCACCTCAGGGAACCACAGAGATCTGTTTAAAATGAAACGAATGCCCCAGAGGGTGCTTGTTTATTTTTTATGTGTTTCTTTTCCCACTTTTATTGTTTTCCGATGACTCTGCATGTATAATAATATTTTGAGAAGTATTTCTCTCCGAAAATATGTAAAAAAATAATAATAGATTTGTGTGTGATACATTTACAGCAGAGAGGCCAGGAACACCTATTCCCTCCTGAAATCATCAGGCTTCGTGGGCCAAGCAGCAATATTTTCGTGGAATATAGGAGCTTCCAATAGAAAGTCTGTGTGTGAACATCAGTAAAATGTACATTTAGTCTTGAGGTAGCCCCAGCTTGAAGCCGTACCCCAGAACCTGACTCCCAGTGAACTTGAAATCCAGGCTACCAGCGTGTGTGGGTTTAGATCTGCACAGTCCACAGTGGTTTGTTCCAGTGTTGAATGCCTTGCTTTCCTCCAGGGCCCAGTAATCAGTAAGAATGGAGAGCAGATTTCATAGTGGGCATTTCCCATGCTCCTGTGTTTAGAATTCAGGGGCAAATTGATATTTTAATGGCACATGGATTCCAGAAACTGGAGATATAAAGCATTCATTTTCTCCCAGCCTGAAGGTTTCTATCGGAAGCTCCTATATTCCACGAAAATATTGCTGCTTGGCCCACGAAGCCTGATGATTTCAGGAGGGAATAGGTGTTCCTGGCCTCTCTGCTGTAAATGCATCAGGACCACACCTTGAACTTGACAATGTCTTCCACTTCACAAGTGTCCTGGTGCTATAACTCTCTAACTCCCTGGGAACATGGGGGTCAGGTTTCCTCCCAGGCAACACCTTCCTTACAGACTCCCAGAATGCACATGGGGAGAGTGTGGAATGAGCTATTCCCCAACCCTAAGCATTAAAGCCAGTGCAAGACTCTCAGGGCTTAGGCAGAGCTCGGCAAGCTATGCCCCGGCATTCCTGTCAAAGCAGACAGTCATCAGCTAATCTCTGTAAATGACTACAATTTTGGCAGGTGTCAGCTCGTACCAAAACAGCTCGCGCATTAGAACTTTTTTTAAACCATCGAGTAATGGAGGGAGAGAAATAAAAATAAATAATGTCACATGTGTTGGCCACACAGTGGCTTGCCCCAAATGGCTTATTCCTGTTTGGGTTCTCGGTGACCAGGTCCCCACGTTTTTTGTTTGTTTGGTAGGTTGGATGGTTCATTGGTTTTTGTTGTTGTTTGGTTTTTTTTTTGTTGTTGTTGTTGTTTTAGTATTTTGAAACAGGGTTTCTCTGTAGCTTTGGAGCCTGTCCTGGCACTAGCTCTTGTAGACCAGGCTGGCCTCGAACTCATGGAGATTCGCCTGCCTCTGCCTCTCAAGTGCTGAGATTAAAGGTGTGTGCCACCACTGCCCGGCCTGGTCCCCAAATTTATAGAGGCAGGTCCTCCAATAGCCACCCATCAAAGGCTGGCCAGAGACACCAGCACATTAAGTGTTCTGAATTCACAATCATCACACACACACACACACACACACACACACACACACACACACACACTGACCTTCACAGGGTTCTTCAAAGCAAGCCACTGGGTGCCTTCAGAATGTGAAGCCGGGACACGGACAAACCCTGCTGGAAGCCCTGTTGGTCCACATTCTTTCTTAGGTGGCACAGCTCTCCCAAGTCATGTTTCCCCCATTCTCAGTCCCTGACTGGCATGAGACCGACCGTAGTAGGCACACCAAGGGGCCACGCCACGCTTTAATGGCTTTAAAGCTGGGATTGTTTCCCTGCGAGAGAGCCTGAGGCTTTTCAGTGTGGTGAGGAGTGGGACTCTGTCACAACCAAAGAGGGGGGAAGAGCCAGAGAAGGCTGCACACCAAACGGCTTGTGCTATGGCTGACTGAAGTAGAAGGTTCTAGAAAAAGAAGTTTTTGTACTGCTGGTAAAAAGATGAAGGAGGCAGTCAGGGACTTGGCCTCTTTTGTCCACAGAGCTTAAAATACTCGGCCTCTGAGAGGCCTCTCACATGTATGCCGTCTGAGCCTGCGTGACTCAGGGTGTTTGTGTCTGAGGCGAGTGTTGAGAGCTGCCTCTCTGAGTGACAGTCCAGATTTGCCTTGGTGATACGTGGAAGGAGGGAACGTTGCATGTGCACTACACAAATATTATGCTTGAGCATTTTCCTCCGTTCGGAGCCAAACAGGTCTTGTTAGTGATAAAAATCACTGCAATATAGTAGGCCCTTTTTCTGGCCTGGAATTTGAGACTGTGTCGGCGGTGCCAAGGGGGCCCGCAGCAGGAAGAGACGGCAAGCCGAGGGATTTGAAACCATAACACAACTTCTACAACTTAATTTTATAATTGTAGCAATTGGGAACCGGGGGGCAGGGAGGGTACCTTTCATAGTCTTGTTCCTACCCTGTGCTGGGGGAATGCTGTCCAGGGTCCTCTGTCAAGCTTCCGGTTGGGATGGGTTCCAGAAGCAGCCTTTTCTATGGGTAGAAGTCAGTGGCTTCTCCTGTCTTGCACTGAGGCTGTGTGACCACTGCCTGGGAGAGCTGCGGCACAGTCAAATAAACCTTCAGGGTGAGCTGGCCTCCTTAAAGAGCAATGGCTCTCCCAAGTCATCTGTGGCTGTGCTCGTTCCTGTGTGGGAGGCCGGAGTCAGCTATAATCTCTAGTTTAACGACAGTTTAGAAGGGACGAGGGAAACCTGGAGGCCCAGCCCTCCCTGCTGGACCATGTGAATGTCCCTGCTTGCTCGTCCGTCCCTGGTGATAGGGACACCTACTGCCCATACAGCCAGTCTCCCCACTCCACTTTCACTCTCCGGCCCCTGGGAAGCTCTGCAGGCCAACTGGCCACACCCTCTGGGCTCCCGAAGGCGGGCCTACCAGGAATATCAAAACAGGCCTAGGCTGCACCTTTCTGCCTCTTCCCTCTTAGGGATGTGTCCAAGGAGTGGGCTTCAGAGAGAAAGGATGCTTCAGGGAGCCTGTATGAAGTAGGAAGGGCCTGGGACAGGGCTGCCCTGTGCCTACCTGCCTGTAACAGGAAATCTCCCCCCTAGGCTGTGGGTTTGCAGCTGCACCCAATTTCCTGTTGAAGGGGCATGCTGCTGAGCTCCACGGCCCACTCTGGTACCGCTCAGACCTGCTTCTGGTCGGGTTTGCAAGACGTCAGGGCATTCATGACCCCAGGGGAGGCCACCTTTCTTGGCTGCCATGGCTCAGCCCTCAGTCTGTGGCCAACAGCCAACAAGCAACCGGCTTCTTTCCCAGGCCACTGTAATCAGTTCCACTCCCTAGTATCTCTCTTTCTGCCCACCTGGGATACACACAGAGAGCTGGGTGCATGCCCAGTCCCAGACTAAGGGAACGCCCTGGGGCCAGTGCAATGAAGGATGGCCCTGGGCCCCCAGCCCAAACGGCAATTCCAACAAGCTCACATTGGGGGCGAAGGGAGGGGGGATGATAAGAAAAGACCCCCTCCACAATGCGTTTTCTGATCTCTTCCCTCCCTCCCTCCTTCCCTACCTCCCTTCCCTCCTCCTCCCTTCCCCTCCCGGTCCCTACACTAGGACATCGGCAGAAACTAGATGAGACCAAGCCCGGGAGTTTGTCCTTTTCCGAGAGGCTCAGTGAACTGGAGCAGCTGCGGCGCACGGCCATGAGGGTCAGCCCGCACCACCCAGCCCCCACGCCCAACCCTCGGGCCTCCTTGAACCACTCCACTGCCTTTAACCCGCAGCCTCAGAGTCAGATGCAGGGTAAGTACCCCGTGGAGCCCACTGCCCTCGGTCCTTGCTGAAGTCCTGGGCACAGAGCCCACCCAGGCTGCCAGGACTTCCCCTGGGCGCTCCAAGGGCACTCCTGAAAGCCACGGCCTCCAGTGGGAGCTTATTAGAAAAGCGGAGTCTTGGTGTTTTGCCTGTTGAGTTTCTCTCGACTGAGAAGTTTCTCTCTTGACTGAATGGCTATGGACATCCATCATGTATGTTAGTGGATGTACACATGGCTATGGACATCATGTATGTTAGTGAATATACACTTGGCTATGGACATCCATCATGTGTGTTAGTGGATATACACATGGCTATGGACATCCATCATGTGTGTTAGTGGATATACACATGGCTATGGACATCCATCATGTGTGTTTGTGGATATACACATGGCTATGGACATCCATCATGTGTGTTTGTGGATATACACATGGCTATGGACATCCATCATGTGTGTTTGTGGATGTACACATGCATCCCTTGGTACCTGTGGAGTATCAGTTCCAGGGACCCAAATCCACAGTGCCCAGCACTTACATCATAGGTCCTAGCACAGTGTGCATTCCTCATTGCTGCTGGCATCCGGTACGCTGTCGATACAATACTCAGAAACAACAGTTAACAACCGCTAAATTCTAGCATTTAGGGTTCCATAACAAAAATTTATTTTCGGCATGTGTACATTTTAGAAAACTATTGTCAGCCCACCGTTGGTTCAGTCTTTAGCTAGAGAGCCTGCAGATACAAAGAGCTGCCTGTGTATATGTGTATAAGCAGATGAGGGTTTTAAGTTATGTTGTTTTCTTACCTACCCATTAGTATTGAAGCCACACACTTTTGTATGTATTTATGTATGTATGTATAAATGTACACATATACACATCTAGAAAGGTGAAAGTGAGGAGCTCTCCAGTTCTTGTTGTCTTCTGATCTTATGTGGAGTTTGCATCTAATATTTGTTCTTTGCACACTATAAAGAACAGGAGGCATGCATGTATGTGACTGTATCCAGCACAGTATTTTCAGATCAGGGCTGTGAGTTCCTTTCACTCCATGGGGCAGTCACCAACTGCAAAAGCACTGTAAGCAGCAAAAACTGCACAGACCTGTAAGATGCAATAGCTGCATAGGCCCTCTGTGCCAAGTTAGATAGCACTCACGGTGCATTTACGCGGTAGGGCCGCTGACGCCGGCGGCTGTTTGCTCAGAGATACCATTATAATATCTGAGCGGTGCTCTTCCTGTGCCTGGTGGGACACAGCTGGATATGATATGCTTGCAGTAACACTCCTTCTGCAGAGATGCAGGCTCATTCGCCCCAAAGGAAAGGATGCGGCCAATCTGCAGAAAGGGACCAAGGGCTGGCATCAGGCGTGGGGCACCGCTTCTCACAGAAAGCAAAGATTAGTTTCCCCTGTGCTCCACATGGGGCACACAGGCAATCTCTATGTGAGAGAGAGGGCTTCGGAGCAAATTGCTCTCTTTGAGGAGAAACACATGCAGGCCTCACAAAAGCTCACGCTCTCCAGAGTGTAAAATAGAGTCTATGCCCCAGAACTTGGGAGGTGTAGGCAGCAGGGTCAAGAGTTCAAGGCTGGCCTTGGCTACCTAGCTAGCTTGAGGCCGACCTGAGCTGCATGTGATGTGGCCAACATCACCACATAGTGTGCCTCTCCTCTGCGTGAGTGGAACAAAGAGTTAGGATGTCTTTAGGGTGTGTAGGCCCCACAAAATTCTTCATTTCTTTTGCTTAATGACTAATCACTCAAAACATTGACACTAACTTCCCAGAGAGCCCACAGTGTAGTTCTATGGTGATATTTTAGGGTCATAGATGGTCTTGGGGACGAGGAGAATGAAATTTTCCAGGAGATTCTTCTGTCTTGTGTTTGCAATCATTTTGCTCCACGTGTCTTTTCTGGGAGTCCGTGTGTGAAAACCGAGGCGAGGGCTCTGTTCTCGTGGCCTCTGGTAGCTGTACTCACCACTTGTGGCTGGGAATGAGATTGGCCTTTTGCATGCAGAAAGCCAAACCCAAACAAGAAAGGGTTTTTAAAGCTAATGCAAAACCGAGTCACGTGGGAACAAACTCAAAGTGTCGCCTCTGCCGGCTCGGTGAACCTGACCCGCTTTCACTGTCTTATATGCCATTCCCTAGCAAAAGCCGAGGGTGGTTGGTGCTCAGGAGTGTCCTGAGCCTTTGGAGCGGCCCACTCAGGCATGGGAGACATCGCCATGGGCAGGTGGTGGGTGTCTGTGGCTCTCTACATTGTAACTTGATCTCAGAGTGTTCTAGGGGCCTGACTGCTACTCTCAGAAGATGTGTGGTCTGTATTTTGGGTTATTCCCCCTGCAGTATATGAATTTGATATGCAGGGATTACTCGCCCCGTGACAGACACAGTTTTAGACCTGTGTTCACGATATAGCATGTAAAAGCCTTCCCTGTGTTCTCTCCACCACCACGCCCACCGTCTGTTTCTCTCCCCTCTCCTTCCTTTTCCTCCTTCCTCTCCTCTCTCTTTTTCCCTACAAGAAAATACTATTTTATACAAGTCTAGTTTTGAGTAGACTCTCAAATGGTTCCCCCATCCCCTGAAATCCAAACATTAACAGGGATAATGTAACAGACCAGTCCTTCACTTTGCTCCTGACATTAAAGACAGTTAATGCCCAGGTTTAGCCCCAGGGCACCCATGTCTACCTGAGCCACACAGCACGGTTCATGGCGCTCTGAGATGGCCATCACAATTTTAAGGAAATGGTCCCAGAAGTGCTCAGGGCTGAGGAGCACCATACAGACACAGGGATGATTTCCAGCTTCACAGAGATGCCGGCCGGTGACTGCCAGAGGTCTATGGAGAGGTGGGGGACTGCCAGGCCGGAGCCACCCCAGCCCACCCCTCTGCTCTGCCAGCAGAGGATCGTGGGTATGGAATATCACCCTTCCTTACCTTACCCAGTAGACATCTCCAGTGATGTGCCATGGGATGCGGATGGACGGGGGGGGGGGGGGGGGGGAAGGTTGCCATGCCACCCAACCACTGTTTGTTGTGGTTTTAATTTTAAAAGAGCTGAGGTTAATCTCAGCTTCCTATCTGGGCAGGCCTAAAAGTGGAACAGAAAGCCATTTTGTCACGGCTTACATTTTGTCGTGGTTTACACAAGTCAGGACACCATCGCGAATACCTCCCGCCAGCTTTCAGGCCTTTGCTAAGGTCCTTTTACAGCCGGGGAGGGGACAGATTAGAGTTCTGGGGTAATGATGCCTGTGCCCTCAGACCTCCCACCCAGAGATGACTCTGGGCAACCCGGTGAGTCATGTGGAGTCTCAGATTCTGGTTTAGAAGGTGGCATGGCTTCCGCCTTTCCTTGGAGATGAGGATGACATGTAAAGATACTGACACAGAAACCCCCAAACCAGAGACATTATTAGACCAGCAAGCTAAGCCTCTTGCTATAAAGTCTAACTTTCCTTGGCTTCACTGCGATGTCTGGGCACAGCTCAGATTTCCCCGTCTGCATGTCCTTTTCTCTCGGCCATCCTGTGGGGTGGTATACAAACAGAAATGCAGAGCTCTCAGCTCAGAGGTTAAACATTTCCTACCACGTCCAGCATCGTAAGTGATGGACTCAAATCCAGACCTTTTTGAAGGTGCATGCGGTAAGGTGGTGGGGAAAGATGAGCCCATGCGCCCGGCTCGGAGACTGGTGCGCTACTGGGCTGGCAGGCATCGTGAGGTGCTGGGCAAGCCACCCCGTAGGACACCCGGATGAAGGCATTGCACTGTAATTAGATGTTGCGGCTGATGCTGGCGTCATGGGGCCTATGTTGGGTGCCTTACTGTGTCATCTTCTGGAAGTACTTTATCTTTAAAAATGGGGAGAAAAGAAAGCCAATTGGAAGACTGGGCTTCTGAGCATATCCGAACGGGAATGTTTGGGCAGGAGCTGGGCTTGCCATCCTCTCCTCCTGGTCTCTCGTCTCTTGAGCATGAGACGGCTAAAACAGTCTGTCACCTCAAGGATAGGCATCTATCCTTGCACCAAGGTCCCTAAAACAACGCAGTGTGCATGACCTTGATGTGTTATTTATTGACCTTGTCCCAAATACTTAATCAGCCCTTCAGAGAATCACTTACCACTTAAACTGACACCACCTTTGTAATCCAAAACCATGGTTTAATAGGACCTGGTTTCCAAATCAGTTCACGAGCGATACTCAGAGAGGTCCACCCATGTTCTCAAGATCCTCCTAGTCCCTTGAGGATACCTTTTCTGCTTACAAGGGAAAATAATTTACTGTGGGTCTCGGTCTCAGTGATCAAATATTCCTTCCCGGGTCTGCCGAGATTTTGAAGTTCTCCATGACACTAATGAATCTGTAGGCTGCGCACAGGTGCACTAAACGGTGTCCTTGGGACGTTACAAAGTGGTCATCTGTGTACTTACTGAATAGGGCTGTTAAAATGCAGAGGCTTTGAAAGGCACACGTTCTCAACTGCTAGGAAGGAAGCGCACTGCCACAAACCAGCACAGCCTGGTGACTGCAGACGCCCTAGAACCGTGAGCAAGAAGTTTAACCTCTTAAAGTCTCCATCTTCTTCCTTGCAAAACGAGAGTGGGAGATGTTCTTGTCGGTCTTGAGGACACAGAAACACCAGGCACGGAATGCCATCCCTGACTGATCACTATTGCAGTCTGCGTCAACAGTAGCAGCTCTGGTGGTCTTCTGTGGCTGACACAGACCTGGGCCACAGATTTAGTGACTTTAAACAATGAGAATTTATTCTCTCAAGACTGGAGGCTACGTGTTCTAACATTAAGGCAGCGTGTGACAGCCCTTCCTCTGAAGGCCCAAGAGAAGGCTCTTTCTGTCTCCTCTAGTTCTTGCCAGTTCCAGGCACTCCTTGGCTCATGGCTGCATCTCTCCCCTCTGTTTTTCTCTTTACCTGAGCTTCTCTGTTCTGTCTTTCCCTCTGCTTC